GACAGAGTAGGACTGCCCCCCATAGGGTTTCCAAAGAGTGGCTGGTGGATTTGAACTGCTAACCTTTTGGTTAGCAGCCTTAATGCTTAACCACTGTGCCACTAGGGCTCTGTATATATAGTATCTGGTTATATAATAGCCATAATAATATGACTGTTATCATCTAATTATTATCTAATCTCTTTTATTTATTTGTTTTTTTAATCTCTATGAAGTATTTCAAGCTCATTGTAAAAATATCAGATAATATAGAAAGGTTAAAAAGTCAGTCACCTATAGGTCTTCCACCCAGAGACAACCAGTAGTAACCTTTTCTTGAGTTTTCTTTGTTAACATAAACATGATTATACATACATGTGTAAAATTTTGGGGTGCAAAATTGAGAGCACAATATTTTGCAACCTCCTTTTATCACTTAACATTTTTCCCCATGTCAGAAAATTGTTTAGATTGACTGCATAGTATTATAGTATGGGAAATAGCATTTATTTTCTAATTCATCTACTTAATGTTATTGTTGATTTTTTTGCTGTTACAGCCATAGTGCAATATACATCTTTGTGTATATACTATTTCACATGATTGCCTAATGATTTTTTTAGGATAAATTCTCAGAAATGGAATTACTAAATTAAAGGATACGCCTATTTAAAAGAAAACCCTGTTGGTATTGCCTCCCAGGAAGTTTGTATCACTTTATTCTGTCATGAGTAGTTTGAAAGTAGCCACATGAGCCTCCTATAATAAAAGTACAATCATTAGAGGTCAGTTTTTAAAAAAACTTTGTGATTCAATATATTTTCTATTTTTTCTAGCTTATTTGTATTGCAGTAGTAATGATCTTTTCATTTAAGTGTACAATATTTAAGTTCATTATGGGTTAAAATGACTTTTAGTGGTTAACTTGGTAACTTAAATCATTGCTTAATATCACTTTTAGGGGATACAGTAGTCTAAAATGCAAATAAATAATTAGGGATAATTTTAGTTTCCCACTAATGTTTTGCCATTTAATATCCTTCTAAAAATTCATGTCCTCCTAAAAATTAAAACCAGAAGAGTTGATTGCTAGTCTTCTTTATAAGCCATTATATTTACTGGAAGCATGAACCATTTAATTTAGTGGGATTTTGTTATTTTAGTTTAGCTTTATTTTTTTTTTTGTAGGGTTAGTGCACTGAAAGGCTGCAGAGGAAAAGACTGTGATATTCCTGTACCTGTGGGCATTTCAGTAATTGATGAAAATGGTAAAATTATAGGTGAGTACTCTTTGCTTCTAAGGTTGTGAAAAACATGCACATTTTCTAAAATTGTTTGGGGGAT